TTTAGCTTTTTATTTTTTTATTTCAGAGAGAGAAAGGGAGACAGAGATAGAAACATCGGTGATGAGAGAGAACCTATGATTGGCTGCCTCTTGCATGCCTCCTATGGAGGATCAAGCCCACAACCCAGGCATGTGCCCTTGACCAGGAATTGAACTCTGAACTCCTGGTTCATAGGTTGACTCTCAACCACTGAACTGCACTGGTGGGGCTGAGTTTTTTCTTGTTTCTTAAGATAGATGTATATAGCTATGAATTTTCCCCTTAGAACTACTTTTACTCATCTTTTAAATTTGGGGGAGTTGTGCTTTCCTTTTTGTTTCTACCTAGGTGTATTTTATTTTCTGTTTGATTTCTTCTTTGATCTATCAGTTGTTCAGTCATGTTGTTTAGTGTTTGTACATGTGTGTTTTCCAGTTTTTGTCTTATAGCTGATTTCTAGTTCCATTCCATTATGGTCAAAAAATATGCTTGATGTGATTTCAGTCTTCTTGAGTTTATTAAGATTTGTTTTGTGGCCCAGTGTTTAAACAATTTTGAAGAATATTCCATGTGTACTTAAAAAAAATGAGTATTCTGCACTTTTGGAGATGCAATATTCTAGTAATTTGATGTGATCTAACATGACAACTAAGGCCATTGTTTCTGTATTAATTTGCTGTCTAGATGATCTCCCCAATAATGTTAAAGTAGTAGAGTAGTAAATTAAGTAGAATAGTAAAGTAGAGAGTAAAGTTCCCTCCAGTATTATTGCTGTTAATTTCTACCTTTGTGTTCATTAATATTTATTTTAGATACTTAGGCACTATTATGTTAATTCATAGACATTTATAATTGTTACTAGTATATCCTCTTGGATTGACACCTTAAAAAATTGTGTAATGTCCTTTATATGAGTATTGCTACCCCAACTTTCTTTTTCATTCTGTTTGCATGAAATATCTCTTTTGATCTCTTCATTCAGTTATATGTGTATCTCTCCATCTAACATGGAGTGTTTGTGTGAACTAATATAAATTCAAAGTAAACATCATTACATAAAAGGGTATGGTCTTTTCTTATTATTTTTAGTTTTATTCATTTCAAACTGGCTGCATCCAGCCCGCAGCCAGTCTCTTGTACACAGGTTAAAGATACTTCTTTTTTTTTTAAACCTATTCTGCTACCCTATGTCTTTTTAATTTTTATTTTATGTTATTTTACTTTTAATTACAGTGAACGTTCAGCATTCTCTGTTAGTTTCAGGGGTACAGCATAATATTTTTTAAAGATGTTTTTATTGATTTCAGAAAGAGAAAGGGAGGTAGGGAAAATAGATACATCAATGAAGAGAGAGAATCATTGATCAGCTACCTCTTACATGCCCCCTACTGGGGATGGAGCCTGCAATTTAGGCATGTGCCCTGACCAATCAAAAGCAATATCAGTCAGGCTGTTACAATATTATTGATTATATTCATTATGCTGTAATTTACATCCCTGTTACTATTCCATCTTTTGAATGGAACATTTAGTCTGTTTACATTTTAAGGTAATTATTCATAGATATGTGGCTGAGTGCCTGCCCCCCCCTCCTTTTTTACTTTGGTGGTAGAAGTGTTTTGTTTTTTTCTTGATCTCTTTACTTTTGATTTGTTGGCTTTCTTTAGTGTTTTGATTGGATTCCTTTTTCTTTGATTTGTATATTTTTTACTGTTGGTTAAAAGTTACCAGGAGGTTTATAAAATCCTTCTATATTTATAGCAGTGCATTGTAAGATGATTGACATTTAAGTTTAAACATGTTCTAAAACACACTTTGTATTACCCTTTCCATACTTTGTGTTTTTGATGTTATATTTTATATCACTTTGTTTTATTTCCTGATTATTGGAGTTACAGTGACTTTGCTACTTTTGTCTTTGTTTATATTAGCTTTTTAGCTATTTTACTATATTCTGTATTTGCTTTTATCTATGAGACTTTTCTTTTTCATGTATTTTTCATTACTGGTTAGGGCAGCCGTGGGCAAACTACGGCCTGCGGGCTGGATGCAGCCAGTTTGAAATGAATA